TAGAGATGGGGGGCGCGGGCTGGTTATGGTTGAGGCGAAGCTGCAGAGAGGGCTCTGGCGGGAGAAAGCAGCCCGTTTAGCAGTCGGTGTTGAGAGTGGCCGAGGCCGCCTGCCGCTCGTTCCCCCCATTGTCCCCTCGCCGTTTGTCCCTACTTTCTCCCCACGATCCCCGTGCCTGACCTCCCCACTTCGCCGGTAGTCGCTGTTGGACTGCGGTGAGGGAATTCATCGGGACTCTCTGCTGACCCCCTTTGCGTCCCCCTGCCCCTGCGGGCTTTCTGGGCACCGACTTCGACGTGACTCATGCCCTGGCCTTTCCTTTGCGGGGCTCCGAGGACCTCCCGACCTCGGGTGCTGTTGGATGCTGATGTTGCATCGCAGGAGCAGCAATGGCGCTCTGAAGCCCTTTTTCTCGCTGAAGCTTTGCATCATGCGGGAAACTGAGGCACAGAGGGTTTGTGCATGGAGGCTGAAGTGTTCACACGCAGCCCCGTTTCCATAGCTGCCCTCAGGGCTCCTCCGGAGTCTGCTCTGCGATGCCAGTAAAATCAAAACAAAACAAAAACTCTACTAAGCTCCGTTTTCCCGGGGACCTTCGTCGCCTTCCTCCTCAGCAAGGAGGCTCGCGAGTTTATTCTGCAGCATAGAGGGTGACCTTTTGCTCGAAGGCTTTTAGCCAGCTCCCTTTCTGCTGGTGTGTGGTTTTGTTTTTCTTCTTTTTCCTCCTTTTCATGCTGAGAGTAACCAAGATTCTCCCGCATTTTTTCACCACTGTGAAAGTCTACTTTGTCCTCGGTCAGTGGTTATAGTACCTTCACCATATGGGGGAAACACGGTGACCAGACAAAAGGATACTTAGATTGCACAATAGAGAATTGCTTGTTCTTTCATGCACAGCCACCTTCCCCGAAAAACGTCATTTACATGGATGGGAAATACTTACAAGAGCTATAAAATAATTCTAAACATGAGCCATTGTTGGCAACAGGCCAAAAAAGACATCTTTTCAATTTCTAGATTATGTTAAGTGAGGTCGGTATGTTTACCATTTGGAAGATTGTCATGAACTGTTGCTTTAAATGATAAAGAGGAAGACCCTCAGCCAGATGGATTGACACAGTGACAGCAGGAAAGGCCCAAGTATGGCAGATATGAGGATGGGACAGGATAGGACACAGTTCAGCTCTGTTGTTCATAAATGGTCTTACAAGTGTTTAACTTGATGCACATAACAACAGCAACAAGAAGTCACTGGGAAAAAACCGCAAACTTTGCACAGACATCTAGATGTGTATGTAAATATAAGTTAATCATGAGGATTGAGAGCCACTGCAACCCTATGTAAAAAAGATGGACAGTCTCCTTCTATTTGATTTACTTTCTTTGAAAACCTACTGGAGGAGGATCAGCTGTAAGTTGATTGCTACTGGAGGGTACTTAACAATTAGGGAACTCTGATAGCCTAGGGGTAAAGAGTTGTGTTGCCAACTCAAAGGTTGTTGTTGTTGTTGTTGTTATGTGCCGTGGAGTCACCTGCGACCCATAGCGACCCTATGTACAACAGCCCTAAAAAAGGTACAAGGTTCAAATCCACCAGCTGCTTTGCGGGGGTGGAGGTGGGAATAGGAGGGCAAGATGGGCAGTCTCCTCTGTAATTTACATTTTCCGAAAATCCACCAGAGGGCCAGCTATCATATGGTTCTGAGCTCTGGTGGCCCAGTCGTTAAGAAGTTGTACTGCCAACCCAAAAAAACAAATAGTTCAAATCCAACAGCTACTCAGAGGGTGAGAGATGCCCTGCCTCCTGCCAGCCTCTGAAAAGCCTCCCAAGGGTCAGCTATAAGCTGGTTCTGACTCAGTGGCACATAACCACAACAACACAGAAAACGTCAGTATTTTCTCTTGGAGCCTAAGGGTATTTTGTTTGCCTATTCATTTTGGTGGTGGTTTTTCCCCTGGAAAAACTGTGATGTGGACATTCTGGGGACAGAAAGAGACATCTGTTTTACTGTTTGGACATTGATAGCCTGTAATTTTGTATTTGTAGAGAGCGTGATGGCGGCGCCCGAGGTGGCTGGCGATGTGGCCGAGTCCCCTAGTCCTCCGGAGTCCTCTTCTAGCTTGTGTCCTTCCAAATCAGACGACAGCCTCCACGACGATGTAAGGTAACGTTAGATTCTTGGCTGGGAAGATTTATTGGAGTAAAGGGCTGTATGTACCTAGTCTTCCCTCTTCTTGACTCCAGTGACTAACCTAAGCTTTTTAAAGGTAGGCACTGTGACTGATTCATCTTTGTATTTCTGATTCCAGCATGCTAGGAGAGATATTGAAATATTTGTTGAATAAATGTAAAAGAACATGGAGTCAAGCATAGGTAAAAATGGATATATATTCCCCACCCTATTTCACGATAGGTTATATATCATACCCTTATGAATGTAAGCTATATTGTGTGTACGTATTTTTATCTTTGTTAACTTGCTCACTCTATATGTATTTCGCCTCCCATCTAAACTTGATGGCAGGTATTGTGATTTATTCAGTCTTATATAGTGGCTAGTACATTTGTACAATGTTGATAATGTATCTGTCTCACCTTTTTTCTAGAGCATTTAGGACCTAAAGCTATATATAATACTGTACTAACAAGTTTATATTTATTAACACATATAATCTTCACAGCATTTCCAACAGGTAGGTACTAATACTCTCCTCATTTTATAGATGAGGAAACGGACACCAAAATTAATACCTTACCCTGAGTTACCTAGCTATGTTGGAATCGGGATTTGAACTCAGGCTTGTCTGACTTCAAAGTACATAATAAATATTTTTCAATGAAAATAATGCTTATTAGTGAGTAGATAGTAGGTAAAATGTTAAGTAAGCCAAACCGTAAACTGGAATCTTAATGCATTATCTGTTTTATAAAGAAGATAAACTGTGTATTACAAACAGGCAGGCATTATACTACGCTCTTATATGCATTATTGTACATAATTCTTACAACAGTCCTAGTGGACAAGTAGTGTTATTTCCATTTTACAAGAGAGATTTCTTGCCCAAACACCTAGTCAGGATTGAGTTGGGTACTATATGTGGCTGAATGTTTATTTTTCCCTTTCTCCAGAATTAACTCTCAGAAAAGATATCAGCTTAGTGTGTTTATATTTTCATCCCACAAGTTTCCACAGGTGTTTTACTTTGAGCAAGGATTACTGAGGAAAAAGGAGCTTTGGTGGCTTATCTGAAGGGAGTTGTGCTGCTCACACAAAGGCCACACCTCTCTGGCAGTCTGCATCTGCCAGGGGCTCCGTGGGAGGAAGCCAGACAGTCTACTTCCTGTGATTTACAGCCTCAGAAACTCAGTGGAGGGTCAGCTATGAGTTGGCCTGAGTCAAACGCAATCAGAGAGAGAGAAAGAGATGACTGGGGAAAATCACATTGACTTGAAGCTTATGCTGTTTTGGACTTTTCAGGGAATCACTTGACAGATCAGGTTTTGTTCTTATTTTTGTTTTAATAGTTTTTTCATTTTTAAAGTAAAGAGGTTTAACCTTAGCTTGGCAGTTATAGTCACCACTCCTATGTGCAAAATCTTATAGTTGTGAATGTTTGCTGCCATTATAAATATTCCTTTAAAAGATCTCTTTAAAAAGTAATACAACAAATGCTGTGACAAATGATAGGACATCTATCCCAATGTTATACAGGTTATTTGGATTGAAAATTGTTTGTACTTCAGACTCTTACACTAGAAAACTGTTTAAGAACCTAACAAGTGGTTCTAGTCAAGACCTTTATAAAAAGTTTGAATGAAAACTTTTGAGCACAAGAATGAGTTAAAAACCCAATATTTCTAAATTAGTATTTTATTTATTAAAATATGTGAAACTTAACTAGCATATGGACCTCTAAGTTAAATGTTATTATTTATTCTCCTTGCCTCTGAGTTGGAGCTCACTCTTAGCTGACCCACCCTTGTGTTTTCGAGGCTGTAGATCTCAGGGTCAGAGATTTACCACTTTTTCCCTTGGAGCCAGTGGTGGATTTGAACCATCAGAGATGCCTGTCTATTGGGTTAGCAGTGCAACCACCAGGTTCTTTATTTTATAATTAGCATTAAGCTATTTCCTCTCTATCCCTTGCTGCTTG